TGTATCCAAAGACGAAATTTGTAGGTGAAAGGAGTTAGGAGTCAGCCTTCGTTAGAGACTGGTTCATTTCAGGGTCGAAAATATGGAACGCTTCACGAATTTGCGTGTCATCCTTGCGCAGGGGCCATGCTAATCTTCTCTGTATCGTTCCAATTTTAGTATATGTGCTGCCGAAGCGAGCACTTAAGTGATCTTTCGACTTCAGATTCTCCAGTGACTTCTCTTTTCTCTCATTGCCACTGAGTCAGGAACTGACTCATCGCTGACCCTCCAGTGGGTTTTCAGAGGCAATAAATCGCACAGGAGGAGAGTGCCCATCTTTCTCCCTCAGCAGCTGGTGGATTCGAACCACCTGCCTTTGGTTGGCAGTGTAACTTCTTACCCAGTAGAGTTCTGGTTATCTTTTATGAATGTTTAGTATCATCATTGGGTGACGCAAATAGTTAAGTATTTGACTACTGATTGAGTGGTTGAGTGGTTCGAACCTATCCAGAGGCACTTGGCAATCTGCTTCTGAAAACTATGGAATAGAGCTCTGCTCTGACCCACATGGGGTCACCATGAATTGGAATTGGCTCAGTAGTGACGGACTTTTGTTTTTAATTTCATCATTATCTGGTTAAGACCGGCACTTCCAGTGATGATAGACCTGGAAATACCCTTTGAAGATAGATACTTGCTGGCTGGAGTTGCGAGGCATCCGAGAGACTTGATGCTCTTTGCAATGTTTAGAGCACAGGGCTCTTCACCTTTCAGAGTAATTTCTGGCTGAACACTGATGGAGATGATCAGCTAATTATTCTTGGCAAGACACGTTACAATGAGATAGCTGGAGTGGAACCCAGGAAGATGTGCGAGCCAGCAAGGGCATTCTGTGGGGGTTTTTATAGACTGAGATCTTTTCATACCCTTTATCTTATTTACTCTACATAAATTTAGGAAGGGAAGCTGCTCTCATTTTTCAGCTTCAGAAACTTAAGAGTTGAAGATAAACTTATTGCTGTATTCTAAGTGTCAGCTACTATATTTGAAGATCATATCTAGTACTAGCCTCTGTATCTTCTGACTCTCTAGGTTCTAGATGCCTGGGATTAGTTTTGCTCCACCATGCCATTTAGTTACTAGTCACTGAGTCTTTCTACTGTTATTTGACTGGAACTATTTGAGTGGGACGGTGAAGGGGAAAGGAAGCCCCTCAGCCAGCTGGATTGACACAGTGACTGCAGCAGTGGGCTTGAGTGTGTCAAAGATGGCACAGGATAGGACAGGGTTCTAATCTGTTGTTCACAGGTTCCCTGTGAGTTGTGCTCAGTGCCGTATACCACTACCACCACCACCGCCATGCGAGCAAGTAGTTTTTAGTGATGGCTCCGTTCTCTGTCTATAATTATATAGAGCTTTGTCAGTCCTTTCTTTTGATTCCTTGTGTTTGTTGTTTTTATCTCCTAATCGATTGGAACATCTTGAGGCTAGAGACTATGTTTTATTACATCTTTTATTACAAACCAGGAAACTTACTTTTAGTTAGTGGGAGGTGAATTGCATTAAGGGGCAGGATTTGGAAAGCAGAGTCCCTGGTCCCTGGTTGCCACACTGATTGTTTTGTTACATAATTTGCTTTTTTTCCTACTGCCTCATTTGGTTTCCCTTCTCATCATCTGCAGGATCACTAAGCCGAGAGCTGATGATTCAGGCGAATACCACTGCGTCTATTACTTTGGAAGTGGTACGAAAGCAAATGCCACCATTGAAGTCAAAGGTACGGTCTCCTCCTGAGGCACTGCCTCATCTGGACGTCCATTGTTTCAGCTCTTCTTGTTTCCATTGCAAGAGACAATATAATATTTAGTTGATATTTGTGTGTGTAAAAAATGTTTGAATATGGACAGTTTCATACAATTTAGTTTTATGTAAAGCTCTTAGAAATCAGCCCAACCCCTGTTGTCAAGTCCTGGTGACTCTGAAGGACAGAGTGGAACTGCCTCATAGCTTCCAAGGATGTAAACTTTCACAGAAGCTTCCTGCGTGTGCTTCTCCCTTGAAGGAGCTGGCTGATTCTAACTGCTGACCATTTGGTTAGCAGCCATTCTGTTAACCACTGCACCACCAGGAAGCCTTTCTCTTAGAACAGTGTCTTATGATTATCCTTACAGAGGGCCCTCGAGTGGGCCAGGATGAGCATAGCTGTTTGTACAATTTTGAGACAGTTTAGGTGCCTGCCATCTTCAGGATGAGGCTGTATCTAAAAACCCCAAGAAGGACAAATAGAACTCTGAAAACCGAAGCTACTTCATTACCATTATTCCAGATTTTCCCATATTGTTCCAGGAAACAACTGGGAGGAAAAAAATGAAACCATCAACTTTGTCACATAGCAAGTTTGTGACAGAATAGGCCAGAGCCCAGGTATTCTGACCCCAGCCCAGTGTTCCCCTCTCTTGTAAATGGAACCTGGGAAGGCTGTGCTATTGTTGGAGGTCAGACTAAAGAGATGTGGGGGTTTATATTTCTCCCTTCAGTTTACTTGGGGAGGACAAGGATTTATTCTTTCAATCCCTAGGGTGTAGTTCACAGGTGATCTGTGATCGGGAGTCACAGAAGGTAGAGACTTAGGAGAGATGATAAAAGGTGAAGGACCAAGGCTCGATTAGGCTCATGGAGAAAGAGAGCTTCCCCATCCTCCTTTTTTAGTATAGAAGTGCGCATAGCATACTTAAAGAAAGTCACAGGGTAAAGAAAAGCAGGTAACATCCTACCAAATCAAATTATCCCTGATTAATCAAGGCTCTGTGTTCTTTCTTTATCTTATCTCAAGAAGGCAGTGGGTATGCAAATCTGATTCCAGCAGAAATGCTGAGGTGGTTTGTAACCCCCTGCATTAGAGGAGATCTTGTTAGCAAGAACTCCTCTGGTGCACTTAACCCTTTAAGGCTTAGTAACTCAGGAGATTGCTGACGAGGAATGGCTCTCAGAAGGGGATCTAGGCTGTTTTCAATTCAGATCCCCCGAAGGTCCCTCATTTTCAAGGGTCTGAGATATTCCTGGAACAGGTCCTAGTCCAGCAGACCTCTTACTATCACTAAAGCCTTCAGGGATCCTTCACTATGGTGATACTTAGAAGATGGAACGATACATTTAGGAAGAAGAAAGGGAATCTGTAGCAAGTATTCAGGTTTTCCTTAAAATATTTGGAAGATTAAACAAATGCAGATTCAAGAAGGGTTTCACTTCTTCACTCTAGCTGACCCTCTAACGTGTTTTCAGAGGTTATAAATTGCACCAGTGTAGATTGCCCCCCTTTCTCCCATGGAGCAGCGGGTGGACTTAAACTACCTGCTAGGTTGACTCCACTAGCCTTGTAGTTAGCAACACAGTTCTTTAGAGCTCCCTTAGGAAAGGTTTAGATACATTCAGAGTTTCCAGTGGACAGTGCTATTCAATGAAAGTGTTATCTTTTTGGCATAGTTCTCACTTAATGAGCTGATGTTGGTATTACTGATGCCACCCCAAGCTACCAGTCTGAAGGCATGGTGGGATGGCTACATTTCACAGTGGACAGAGATCTTAGGGTTTGATTTCACCAGTGCCTTTTCTTGCAGAGACCTGGATTTATCTGTGTTTTTGAACAGTGAGTGGCATGAGAATGAAGGGCGTGGGAAAGCATTTTCTTTGTTAGCCTGGTAGAGCTGAGCTAAGTGGGGAGATGGTTCACTCCTCCACGTGGAACTTGAGACCCCAAAGTATTCAAGCCGACACCTTTGGTACACAGTTCACAGCCTGTAAGAGAAAAACAAGATGGGTGAGGTAGGGCAAAACCTGAACCAAACCCACTGCTGTCTGACTCACTCTGGTGCCTGGCTCCCTTAAAGGACAGAGTGGAAACTGTCTCGTGGGATTTCCAAGGCTACAGATTTTTACAGAAGCAGAATACTGTGTTTAATGAAGAATGGCTGGTAGATTCAAATTACTCATTTTGCAGTTAGACAGCTCAGTCTTAGCCATTGTGATAGGGAAGGGGGAGTGTGTACATAGTTAATTGTTTTCTCTAAGCCTAAAGGATGATGGTGTTCGGTACCCTCCGGTCCATTTGATGAGTACTACAACAGACCACACACTGTGCTGTTCTCACAGTTGTTGCTGTGCCCGAGGCCATTGTGAAAACCACTGTATGTTAGCTCTGTCACTGAGCTCTGCTCTCCTGAGTGCGATGTCCTTCTCCAGGGACTGTTCCTTACTGGTACACTTACAAAGTTCATTAGACAGAGTCTCCCCCTCCTTGCTTCTAATGTGCATTCTGGGTGTACATTTTCCGAGACAGATTTTTTCTGTTCCTTTCTTTGATAGTTTATTCAGTATTCTTGGCCAACATTCAGATACAGCAGTTCATCTTCCCTTCTCATTGTCTAGCTTTCACGTACATATAAGACAATTGAAAAGACTTGACTTAGGTGAAGTGTACTGCAGTCTTCAAGGTGACATATGTATTTGCTCTTTAGCACTTTAAAGAGGTCCATTGCAGCAGATTTACCTAGTGCTGAATGTCATTTGTTTTCTTGATTGCTTCTTCCATGGGCTATGATGATGGATCCAAGTAAGAGGAAATTCTTAACAACTTCCATGTTTTCTCATATTTATCATGATAAACCATGGTTTTCAAGGACCATGGTACTCCTTGGTCCAGCTGTGAGGATTTTTATTTTCTTTATGTTAAGATGTAATCTATACTAAAGGTCGTCTTTCATCTTCATCAGAAATACTTTTTCTTCACTTTCAGCAGGTCTGCTTATATAAGTTGTAATGAATCTTCCTCAAATCCTTATGCTTCTTCTTAATCTAGCTTATATTTTTGTTCAGCAATGCAGAATGAATTAAGTGTGATAAAAAGCTACAAACCCTGCCACACACACCTTCACTGATTTAGATCCATGCAATATCCTTTTGCTCTGTTTGAACTGTTTCTTGGTTTTTGACAATTCTACATGAGCACAATTATTCTGGAACCCTCATTTTTTGGCCAGTGTTATTAATATTTTATGATCCGTAAAAGTAGAATGCCAATAAAATGTAGGTAGTATCATCTTTCTAATATTCTCTGTGTTCACCACAGACCAAGGTGACATAAGCTGTGAATCCTTAATTTTTTTATTTACCTTTATTATTATTATTTTTACTAATTTTAATGAAAATTTACAGAGACTTTGGATTTCCATTCAATTTATTGTTTCACTTTTCTCCCTGCCCCACCTCCCGCCCCCCTAGTTCGCTCTTTGAAAAGTAAAAGAAAAATTCTTTCATTGTTATACAATCCCTTCCCCCAGGTCCCCTCCACTATGCAGCCTTTGTTCTGGACTCCTATCATGACAAAAATACCTAATCATATATCCTTCATTTTACATTCTCTTCTGAATCCACCTTGAATTTCTGGGAACTTCTCTATTGACACACTGTTAGATTGACTTTTTTTGGGTTTCCTCCCCTTCGTTATCTTCAACATCATTTACTTGAATGTGATAATAATGATACTATTCAGTACTTCATTCTACTGGGTGAGTACAGATATGGATCTCTACCAGTCATTTGGCCATATAGCTGGTCTTGCAGATTTTTTTGGCATAGACAGGTAAATGCTTCTAACATTTTAGATCCATTTGTAAATGCATCTCATTTGGTGGTATTAGTTCTTGGAGACTTAATTTTTTATCACCCATGGCTTTAGTACATCCCGAAGTTCTTCCTTGGTCATATGCTACCTCCTGAAATGATAGTGCATCAGCCAGTTCTCTTTGGTACAGTGACTCCTTGTGTTCTTCAGCTTTTTTTGGATGCTTTTTGCATCATTCCATTTTTCGGCTCATCTCATAGAATTCTTAAGCTTTGCAGCTTGAGGCTTGAATTTTCTTTTCAATTCTTTTAGCTTCAGAAAGTCCTTTTTGGGTTTGACCTTTGCACATTTCATGAATCATATTTTACTTTGTCTTCTCAAGTTGCCCATTGAAATCTTCCACTTTTATGTCATCATTTCTTCCATTTACTTTAGCTACTCTTGCTCAGAGTCTCTTCTGAATTTTAGCTTTTGCTTTCTTTTGTGTCTTTTCAGTGACCTTTTGCTTCCTTCTGCAGGCTTTGTGGGTGATATTCTGTAAAGATTTGCATCCTCAGGGACCCATCAAGGGCTGCTGTGCTTTGGGATTGACTTGACAGCAGTTTAGAATGTTTTGCTTTCTTAATGTATTATACCCTTAATATCCCTCCACACATTATTTGGTCATCAGTTATTAGTGCTCAGTATATCACATCTACTCCAGAAATGATCTCTAAATTCAGATTGGACATCCTCAAGGTGTAATTTTAATTTTCTTGAGTTTCATCTTGAACATGAGTAACTGATGGCCTGTTCTCTAGTCTTAATTCTCACTGATGATACTGACTTTCTATATCATCTCTTTCCATAGATATAATCAGTTTGATTCTTATGTATTTCATCCAGTGAAATCCATATGTAGAGTTGTTGTTGTTATTATTGAAAAAGGTATTTCCAATTAATAAATTGACCATCTTATTTTTTTATCATCTTTCATTGTTTGTGACACCATGATAATATTTTCCAACTATTGATTCTTTGTTTCAAACTTGTGAATTCCATTTACCAGTAATTACTTTGAATACATGTCTAATTAGTTTAAGACTGTAGAAGTTGGTAAAAACCTTCAATTTCTTCATCTTTGGCATAAATTTGAATGATAGTTGTATTAACTGGTC